GCGGGAGCAACACCGAGGGCTGCGATCCCGTTGCCGGTCCCAGTCCGGTACAGGGGCGACACTGAGGGTTGCGATCCGTTGCCGGACACGGAAAAAGACAAAAAAAAAAAAAAAAAGAATTGAATATCTTGTTGATCATGAGAAGAAACTCAGAGCTCATGACCAGAAACATGTACCATGTTCAAATTTTAATAAACTAATGTATTAACGTTTAAAATTTTAAAAAGGATTTGTTCAGACATGGAATTAATTTATGTATTATTTGTGTGCTATACACACAGAAAATGTATGTTTGTCGTGTATCAAAAATAGTCTAATTTTAACTGTAATTATGTTTGTAATAATAATAATAAAATGTAGCTTCTCATTAAGGCAGTTGTTTTTATTTAATAAGTTCAATTCTCAAGGCTGACATTTTTATTTCCAACAAGTTTGTGGGGGAAATTATACTTGTTATACTAAGGAATTTGTTGAAGAAAATTAAGTCACCTGCTGGGGTACGCACCTTTCTGCATCTTGCAGGAGGTATCAGGGAGGGTCTCAGAGCAATTCCATCACAATGTTTTATTCATTGTCCAGTAAAGTTACACCCATAGAACTCAATAACTCAAGTCACTTCCTTTCAGTCTCATTCATTATTAACCATGACAGAATGCCTGTCCTTTACGAGAGAATCACTTATATCAGATGCCAGGAAAACCTGCAACCTTCTTAGAAATGAGACTCAGTTACTGTTGGAGTGAGCAGAACTGAAGCCATGTTGGTACCTAAAGCTGCCTGGGCTGCGGAGGAGGGGAGGATTTTAAAAAGGACAGTTTTTTTTCTCTCCGCTTTTTCTTCCCAACCCCTGACTTTCTTATCTCACTTGCTAAGTAGGAAAACAAGGCTGAAAAAGGACAGTTTTTTTTCTCTCCGCTTTTTCTTCCCAACCCCTGACTTTCTTATCTCACTCGCTAAGTAGGAAAACAAGGCTGAGAAGCTAATTAGTACTCTGCAAAGCTAACAGTTCTTTCTTTGAGACTTGTAGAGTTTTGAGAAATGATCAAGGCCAAATGACGGCAGCTGACCTTGGGCACCAGCCAAGTAGACCGGCGCAAATCAAAATTTTGTAGGGTCCTGAGATAACAGTGAAGATGAGAATGGAAATGAGATGAGGCCTTGGCAAGACCTTGTACCCGACCCATAGAAACGGACCCCTCTCCTGCTCTCCTGCTTTTCACCTCCCACATTCCATTCCCTCAAGCGTTCCTTTAAAAATCCCTCAGTAAATGTAAATCTTTGAGATGGGATAGCCTCCCATCTCCTTGAGCTGAATACACTTGCTTTTCTAACACCAACCATTTGACTTCTGAGTTTTTTTTCTTTCCTTTTCAAGGGGGTGGGCAGCCGGACCTGAGTCCAGTAACATTACTAGGACATTTTCCTAATCGTGTGTCTTCTCAGTTAGTGGAACCCTGCTGTCTTCAATGAAGTCTTTCCATTTGGAGGTCTGAAAGGGCAGCTCAGTTCTCTAACTGCTAAAGTTCCTAAATGTGCCTCACAGACTTTACGTCACGTGGACAGATCGCTGAGGTGCCATAAATACCTAGATTCTGGAAATTAGGGGGGATGGGGAGCAGTAATGAATTGACAGCTGTGGTTTTTCTGATAAACTACTTCTAGGAGGACTGACAAAGTGGAGGCCCTATTACGTGAACTCTAAGTGAATGTTCCAAAGTTCGTTAGTGTTACTAGATGGGCCTAGACCTAATGCAGTAAGACTGGGTCTTTAAGCAAATACCCTGATGCTTCCACATGTTTAGTTGCCCTTCACATACAAATGCCAGAGGGCCCAGAGCATGAACTTTGGAATCGGCAGTCTTGGATGTGAATCCAGCTATGCCATATACTACCAGCAAGTGACTAAACTTCTCTAAGCCTTTCCCTCCATGTATAAACATGGGATATTTATACCCACTTCACATAAAGTAGCTGTGAAAATGCCTAACCCTGTGCCTAGCACATAGTAAATTCTCAGTAAATTGTCTTCATTTCTTACTTATGTTATTATTGGCAAATGTCTTATTAGATTATTGGAAGAATGAGAATTTGGCAGAAGAGAGGAAACTGAAAAGTAAAAAGAGAAGAGAGAAGAAGCCAAAGGCAAAGCTGAACAGCTTGGGGGGGCTCTCCAAGGATCTTGTCTCAAACCACTTCAGGTATTTGAGCCGGAAAGTGACCCACAGGAACACTGGTGCTCAGAGACGGTCCCAATTTTTCCTTCTGGGGAACTCGTGTTCTCCACATTCCAAGTAGAAGTGGGTTCTTTGATCTTTTGCCTGAACTGCACTCTAAAGTTTGTTCTGGGGTGGCTTCTGCAACATTTAGGAATATTTTTAAATGATACACAGGAAATTCACGTGAAGGAACAATCTGGGGAACAACCCCATGCTGATTTAACAGGGTAGTTTAATCCTCAAATGGAAATTTATAAATGGCGAAACTACATACATACAATGGGTTTAGAAAAGTGGATGGATGGGCCGGCCCGGTGGCGCACTGCTACAGGGCGCTGCTTGTGAGTGCGGCAGCACTCCCGCCGAGGGTTCGGATCCCACATACAGACCGGTTCCCGCTCACTGGCTGAGCAAGGTGCAGGTGCAACACCGAGGGTTGCGATCCCGTTGCCGGTCCCGGTCCGGTACGGGCACGACACTGAGGGTTGCGATCCATTGCCGGACACGAAAAAAGACAAAAAGGAAAAAAAAAAAGAAAAGAAAAGCGGATGGAAACAATTCACTTTCCCAGACTTCATCCATTCAAAGCCAGGTTGATTGTTTAACTTCCCGAGCACCAGACTTCACCTCTAACATTTCTGCTTCTCTTATTCTCCCCTGCTGTATGTGAACTGTCCGTGCCCTTTTTACCCTGAGAACCTTCCCTATCCCTCAAGATCAGGATGTTGGCAGCCCCCAGAAAAACCTAAAAACCAGACTTTTCTTTTTTTCTTTTCTTTTTTTTTTTTTTTTGTGGCTGGCCGGTATAGGGATCCAAAAGCTATCGGGGTAGAGAAGGCAGTGCCTAGGATATTTTGAAGAAGAGTCCTCTAATAATAGTCATAATATCAGTCTCTCTTGGGGTATTGGTAAGAGTGGAAGGGGAGGCAAGGCACCCACCAGGACGCCAACACAGAGGTCTTGACCTGAAGTCACGGATGAATTTCCTCTCCACAATCCCATGATCCCCAAAATGGTACACAAAATTGTCTAGGCGAATTTTTGTGGGAAGAGAAATTGCAGCTTTCATCAACCACTCAAAAGAGTTCAGTGATTCAAGAAAGGTTAAGTAAGATCCACCGAGCTAGAAATGCTGGTGCCACCTCCGATGGTGTATTGTACGAGCCACAGCTCCACCCCCGCTCCTGTCCACCCTCCCTCCCACCCACACCACCCTGCCCCAGATGAAACAGGCTCCAAGGCCAGCCAGCCCTTCAGGTCACCTCCTGAATAACCAGTGACTTAAACAAAAAATCTTTAATGGAATCTGTGCTCAGATAATATGTTACAACAAAAATATACAGAATGTACACAATACAAAAATATTTAGAAACAAACATTGCAGCTTGGGTTTTGTTTTTTCCCACTTGCTCAAGTCCTCGGAGGAGCAGTTTGCTGTCGGGCACTGTTTTTAAGGCAGAGGAGAATCGGTGCTTTCCAGCCAGCACTGGGCACAACATGAATGATGCCGATGCCGGGAAGTTGCTGGGAAAGGGCTTCCGCGGCACCCGGGAATCTGCGGTATTTGCAAACGAAATTGGACGCTGGAGGGAAGATGCCAGTTTGGTGAGCAATGGCTTCCCTAATCTTCTGGGCGAGGATGGTTCTCATGGAAATTGAGAGTCCTATTAGCTGGCAAAAGAGCCTCATTAGGGAGTTTTCCTAATTAAAAAACGAATGATGAATGGTGTCATTAAAGGGAAATTTCTCCTTTGAAGGTTTGATTTCTCTTCCCCAGTTTCTGTGATATTGCTCCTGTTTAACGAGCAAGCGAGTCTATGGCTACTGTTGGGGCTTCCCCAGCTCTCCATTTCTGTGTCCTGTGGATGAAAGGCTGACCGAGCTTCACCAGCCTGAGGGTTTATACCACCCTGCCCTCTGCTTCCCAGTGCATCAGGAGGACGAGGACAAGGACGAGGATGGAGGCAGGGCACTGCTGGGAGTATGAAGGGAATTCTGGAGCAAAGGGACAGACCAGCTGGGGAGAAGCCAGACACCAAAAAGTAAACCTTTCTGACCCGACAGCTGTCTCTCGGCCCTGGGTGGAGGCCTTGGCCAGGTGAACTGACTCTATTGTCTCCACTCTGTGGCCCTGCTTGGAAGTGATGCTGGGAAAAGATGGTGGAGGTGGGTGTGTGGACAGGAAGCAGGCAGGACTGGTGGCCTGAGGTGTGGATGAGGCTCCCTTTGCGTGTCCCAGACCTTGGAGGACAGACTTAACAGGGTGGGAGTTGGGATCCTGCCTCAGGCAGTCCTTCTCAGTAACAAGCGTCCATCTGAAGGCCTGAGGGAACCAGGTGCTTCTCTGAGGGTTTTCTAGAGTCTTCTAGAGTACTACCTTCTTACCCCTTTCCAGGCCACACCAGACAAAGACAAGGGCAGCATTCTGCTCGCTCTACCCACATCCCAGAAGCCCCACGTGGCAGGACAGGAATCTGGAGGGGAAGCCCTGCATCCCAGCAGGGCACCTGCTGCCTCTGCCCCTCCAGGCAGGGACAGCCCCACCCAGGCTTAGCCCTCTCTGCAGCCCATGGTCAAGGCAGCAAAGTCCTGGCTCCTCCATCCTTACCCAAGTCTTCTCAGCCCTCAGCTCTGTGGCTTCAGAGTCTCCTCTCCTAAGAAGCTGACTCTTCCATCTACATCTCTCTCTCATCAGGACAGAGCATGCACGCAGGGCGCAGACAAGACACCCGAGGCTGACACAACTCCACCAAAGATGTGGGCCCATGTGACCTCAGGCTGACAGTCTCCAGCACAGTGTTGGCACAAGAGTGACATGACCCTAGGAGCCATATGTGGGGACCAGGACAATCTCTTTGGCATTGGGCAAAGATACGGAACGGCTCGGCATAGCCTGTGGGTGAGGGCATGTGGCCCTGGGTGGGAAGACCCTGCCCATTTACTGTAATCACTGGGCCCAGAAGCCGCAGTATCCCAAGACCCCCAATACCTGACCAGCTGACTCTGGACCTTGCTACACTTGAAGGCTTTGATGGGCCTAAGGCTGACAGCAGGCAGTTCCCACACTCCTGCCCCTGTTCCTGCAGAAACCCAGCCCCTTTGCCTCCCAGGCCTGGGGTTCTTCGTCCTTTTGGGCTGTCAGTGGCTGTGAGTTCCAAGAGCAGCATGAAGCAATATTTTGTCAAAGGTCATCCTCCTCACACCCTCTACTCAGGGCCTGCAAAGCTCCTGCTAGGTGGTCATTCCCTTGGCCTTGACCTCATTTTCCCACCTGTGAAATTGGGGTAGGGGTGGACTTGAGAATCTCTAAGTTCCCTCCCAGATCTAAGCATCTGAGTCTACCAGCTGCTCACGCCTCTGACATTCACCCAAGCCCCGAACAATTCTCCAAAAGAAAAGTTTTCCACCTAAACTCAAATTCCTTTTAGTGCGGTCTCCTGTGCCCCCAACTCAAATGGACACATGGCCTCAATATTCCCGCCCCAGCTTCTCTTGCATCCCCAAAGCTCCTTCTCTCCTAAGGGAGGCAGGTCAGAACCTTTTGGATATGAAGGTCATTCCAAACGGAAACAAGAACTTGGCAAAGACGAGGAAAACTTCAGCATCTCAGGGATCCTCGGAAAGGTCCAAGAACTCCCTCCAGCACAGACAGTTCTCCTGCTGGTCAGTGATGCTCAGGGAGATGTCTGGAAGGGATGGGAGATGGAAAAGAAGGGGCAAGCTTTTCTAAAATCAAGGACATTCCATAGCCACAGCACACCACCCCTCCCACCTCTTCACACCTTCTTTCCTCTCACACAGACCCCTCCCCATACCCTCAGCCCTTGCACTCCCGCTGCAGGCTCCAACCTGCCACATGCAGCCATGCCCATCACACATACACGTGCACACGCACACACATGCACGTCACCACACTGTGCTCATAACCAAAGGAGAGGGTCAGGGCAGTGAAGGGGAAGGAAAAGACCCTAAAAACAAGGCAGGGCAGGGATGTGGGGACACTGGTGTGAGATCTCAGTGTTCTAGAAGGAAGGGAGGGAAAGGTCTGAAGTTAGTCCTGGGTCTTCCCCAGGATGGAACTTGGGATGAAGTTTATTCACCCTGCTTGGGTCCCTCTCACTGGGTACCCCCAGGGCAAGAGTGGGCCTGCATCCTACAGCATCTCATTCTCTGCCCAGCCCAGGCAGGAGAGGCCATGCTCCAGTGCCCACCAACACCAGGAGGGCACCCTGGGCTCACCCAGGTCAAAGTCAATACATCCAGCACCAGGCCCTCTTCTCACCCCAGAGTTCCAGCCCAGCAACTGTACAGGGAACACTGCCTGGCCTGCAATGGCCTCTGGGCTGGAGAGGGGCCTGCCAGGCCAAAACAATCCTTAGGCCTTCCTTACGTCCCTTCGCATCTCAGATGAGGGAGAAGACTGCTGCTCAATCTGTGGCAGAGAGAGGGGACCCCTGACTCCATGGAACATGCCCAGCCCCCAGGGAGTGTCACTGTCCCCCCACACAGGCCTTCGCCCTGGCCCAATGTCATCAGAACAGCCAGAAAAATGATGGCAGGCACATCTGACTCCTCCACCAGGTGCCTTTCAAAAAAGAGTCTCCACTGTCTGTCCACATCTGAACACAAATATTACCACAGTCCAGTCTCTTGTCTTCGCCTGCCCAGCCTCACTGAGCTGCTGATGAGAAAAAAGAACACAGATGTCCCTTTGGGTGCTGCTTCTCCCTCCCCTGCCCCACCTCAGTTCTTCAGCCCCTTAGGGTGGCGGTGGCAGCTTCAAATCCAGCAGGGTGTACGCAAAAATGTTCCAGAAGATGGCAAACAGCACAAAGATGGTGTACATGGCCACAAAAATCCACCAAAGTGACTGGTCCTGCAGTCTCTGCTCATAGTTCCTCAAGACCACCACACCCAGGGTGATGCCCACGGCCACGCCACCCAAGTGTGCCACGAAGCTCGGGTGAGGGCACGGAGGATAAGCTGATGGGTGGAAGCGGAGCCACACGGCCCGCCCAAACTCCACGCTCACTGCAAGGGGAGGAAGCAGAGAGAAGTCACAGGACGGTCCCTGGGCAGGGGTGGAGAGAGAGGCTTTGCACTCCAGCCACCCATTAATTCATTCACTGATCATTAGGCCAAGCACCATTCTATGCACTGGAGATATGCTAGGGAAGACAGACAAAGCTCTGTTCTCCCAGAGCCCTCAGGGTCTGGCGATGAAACAGTAAACAATGACACACATAAGATAATTTCAGTTAAGGGATAGATCTATCGGGGAAAAATATGTGATGTAAAATCAGTGCCAGGCATAAGGAGGGGGATTTCTTTGTTTGGGGAGTCAGGCAAAACCTGACTTGGAAGGGGATAGCTCCTGTAGAAGCCCAAAGACCCTCACACCTCTGTGGTCACACTATGAATCTCGGAGGCTCGGTTTCCCCTTCTGTCCATCTGCATAATGTCTCAGCCTCCATGCGCCAGGCTGTGCTGGTGGAACATTAATAATGACTTCAATACGTGCCCAGCACTTCAGTCTGTAAAGTGTTTCATGTATTATCTCAAACCCTCTGAACACCAGTGCTTTTGCTCTCAGAAGGAAGGGGTGGAGGCAAAGAAAGGCAAAGAAGGAATGGAAATAAACAATACTAACTTCACTCCCCCAACCCAGATTGCTGGAATTTTTCCCTTAACAGAGTCTAAAATGCCTCCATCCCACGCTGCCATCCATCCTTCTTGCATGAACTTCTTGGGTCGGCCAATCAAATGGGGATGTGGTCTCTTGAAAGGACAGATGCTAGGAAATTGTGCCATCCCATTCCCCACCACCAGAAGAACACTGAGGGTAGGTATTCTTTCTCTTTGCTTTCTTTTTTTTTTTTTTTGTGGCTGACCAGTAAGGGGCTCCAAGTCCTTGACCTTGGCCTTATCAACACCATGCTCTAAGCTACTGAGCTAACCAGCCAGCCCTGAGAGTAGGTATTCTTATTTCCATTTTACAGATGAGGAAACCAAGGCAAATTTGACAGACTGAAAGAAAGCTCTTTGAGGGGAGTTTTGTACTTGTTCAGTTACCATTTAATGACCTAGTGCACCTCTCTCCACCCTAACCACGCGGGGGTGCCAGAACTTCATTCCCCTTGGGATCGCCCAACCTCCTGGACTGGGTCCTGCAACTCCAAGCATGGCCAACAGATGGCAGAAAAGGAGCAGCCAGGGAGGGATACTGTCTCCTCCCCCACCCATGCCCAGGCCCAGGCCCGGGACATCCTTCCTGCCCTTGCTCAGCAGGTCCTGTGTTTAATAAAGGAGGTTTGATAAAGGCAATCGTCCCAACTTCAAAACAGTATTTTAGTTTTTACAATGCTCAGAGTTGGATTTTTTTTTAAAACAGCAAGACATGCTTCTCTTCCCTTTTTCAAAAGCAAACTCAGACTGAGCAGACACGGAAGCTATGTTACCCCCACCCCACTGCACCCTACTGCCCTGACTCAAGGAGTCCATTGATTTTAAGGCTGGAAGGTCCTTTTGGGGATTAGAGATCCTCCAAATCCATCCAGGAAACAGATCCAGAGAGCCCCACAGTGGGTCAGGGGCAGACCTGATTTCCTGAAAGCCGTTGGGTAAGAGGCAAGGCATGTGGAAGGGAATCAGAAAGGAGCCCTTTTAGGCTTGACCCTTTTCCCCAAGTTTGTTCAGTCTTCCTCCTAGCCACACAGTAGGTGGCTACCCAGGCACAGGAAGCCGGGGTACTCCTGCCCACCTTGGCTGAAGTGTGGGGCATTAGAAATGGCACAGGCTGGCTCTGAATCCTGGCTTTATCACCTCTTAGTGGGTGACGTTGGGCAAGGAACTAACTCACTGAGCCTTGAATTTGTCCCTGTAAATTAAGCCTAATACCCTCTTTGTAGGCATGTTCTGAGGACTGGATGACAGAAAGCACATTCCCTCTTCTCTCTTCCTACCTCCTCTGCTCCTGTTCAGACTCCTCTCAGACTGAGCCCTCTGGCCTCTGCTCACATCCCCGTCACACTCGACCCATTCTACACTCCACAGCCTGACTGGTTTTCTAAAACTCAAACCTGTCAGTAACTCTCTTGTTGAAGGTGGCCTTCCAGTGCACTCAGGATGAAGAATACTTTTTTTCTTTGCATTTAAGCTCCTTAATGACCCAACTCTTAGGATCTCACTAGTTTTTTCTCTTATCAGAATCACACACTCTCCTATACCTCCTTGTCAGGTTCATTAACCAACCTGCGGCCGTGACCCTTCACCCATCTGTCTTTGTTCATGCTGCATCTCTGCCCAGAAGACTCTCTTGCACCTTGTCTGTCTGGTGAACACCTGCTTGTCTTAACACTCAAAATGACCTCTGCAGGTAGAACTGGCCTCTCCCAGCTGCCTCCCCCCACACCCTGTTCTTAGGGTTTTGGATTAGTCATAGTTTGTGAATCTGCTAAAACTGCAAGTTTTAAAACACTCAAAATGACCTCTGCAGGTAGAACTGGCCTCTCCCAGCTGCCTCCCCCCACACCCTCTTCTTAGGGTTTTGGATTAGTCATAGTTTGTGAATCTGCTAAAACTGCAAGTTTTAATGTGTGTGTGTGTGTGTGCACGTGCGTATGCATGTGTGCACATATATGCATTTTTCTGGGGAAGGGGTCCCTGACTTTCAACAGGAGATTGCAAAGGATCAAACTCCATGACCAAAAAGCTTAAGAAGTTATTTTTCTTGATCTGGGTGCTGGTCATTGAGCACTGTTCTGTTTGCATGTTACATGTCAATCAAAAGAAGAGGGTTAAGAGCAGCATAGCCAGACAGACTTCCCTCAAACATCCCCACTTTGTTGCACATTATTGACATGGCTCACTTTTTTTTTCTTGACTATGAGCCCCCAAAGGGCAGGGACTGTGCCACCTTTGTGTCCCCAGGGCCTGGTGCCAGGCTTTCTTCTCCCGGCCTACCCCATCAGTACTTACTACAGATCAAGGCCACAGCCATCCGCAGCAGCTTGAACTGGCACTTCATACCCGACCAGTTCTAGGAAAAAAGAAGAGAATTCCATTAGATCCAGATTAGACCACTCCGCTGAAGGTGTATCTCACTTAAGAACTTAACTGACATTTAAAAAAATAGTCTCCATGAAGTCCTGAATGAGGGGTTGTGGCTTAGTAGTAGAATGCACCAGCATGACTTAGAAATTGTAGGCAATGGTAACCTTATTACTGTCATAAAAGCTCTTGAGCTGCATTAACAGGAAGAGAATCCAGATCTAAGGAGATGAGAGATCCTGTGTCCTCGACACAGACAGGAGAGCTGCATTAATTGCTGGGTCCCACTGTTGCAAAGGGACGCATGAAAGCAAGCCAAGCAAAGTCAAAGCAGAACCATCAGGTGATAAAATAACTCAAAATCCTGCATATGAGGAACGGATGAGGAAACCAGGACCTTTTAGCCTAGAGAAGAGAAGACTTAGGGGTCAAGTTCATTGTCAAGCATCAAGTGAGTCAACACAAGGAAAGGGCACATTCGGTGTAACCTGCAAGCAGAACACACAACGGATGAAAGCTTCAGAGTAAGCCTTTAGCTCAGGGTAAGTTTCCATTTCTTTTTTTTTTTTCTTTCTTTCTTTTTTTTTTTTTTGTGTCTGGCCCATGCCAGGATCTGAACCCTAGACCTTGGTGTTATCAACACCTGCACTAACCAACAGAGCTAACCAGCCAGCCCATAAGTTTCCATTTCTAACAAGCAGAGCTGTCCAGAGATAGAATGATCCATCTTGGGAGGTCATGAGATTCCCATCATTGAGGGTTTCAAACAGGGACTTCACATCGCTCATAAAGGATACTCCAGAGAAGAATCAGGCATCAGGAAGGGGGTGGCCAGATGGCCTTCAAACAAATCCCTCTCTCCCCTGAGAATCTCTGAAAACTCTGAACCACCAAAGCAGAAAAAGAGTACAATTATTCACCTTACAAAAGGATTTTCACTTTACAAAAGACTTCGCCACAGGGTTCCTTTGAGGGGCACTCCTGCAGTGCATTCAAAGCACTATTCCATTTATACAGTCGCGCGTACAACAGAAAGGAGCCTGGAATCCTCCTGGAACACATCAGCCCCAGGGAAGGAGGCAAGTGGGCACAGCCAGGGGACTTCTGTTCATTCCCACCCACCCAGGCTGCCTTTGCTGCTTGGCCCAGGCCCAGCCCGGGGGCACGTCTCACACGCCTTTGAGGTTGCGGGAACGTCCATTAAACTTTACAGAAGCCCTGAACGCTGGCACTTACAATAGTGCCTACGAAAGCTTCAGTCCTAGCAAGCAAGATGCAAGGAAGCTGCCAAAAAGAGGGAGAAATCCTTGCGGTATTCGGCTTCTTGCCCACCTCCTCCCTGTCCCCGTGATTCCTCACTGACCGGTAACCCCTCCTTCACAAAAGGTGCAGCGGGCAACACACGGCCCCTCTGTCAGTGGAAAATCTACTCTGCTTGCTGACGTGCTCTGGGCTAAGGAGCAGATGGCGGGATAACACTGTCCCCTGCTGGTGTCTGCCCACAGAGGAACCTCGCCAGGAGACAGGGAACAGGATGGGAGTTGGTGCCCCCCCTGGAGCTAGCAACCAGTTAGCAAATGATCCTCAGCTCCTCTCCAGGAGGAAATGCTAGGATGGGAGGCACCCTGGGAACCACGTGATGGGCCACCTCCTCCCCCCAAAGGGGGACACCCACATCCAAGTAACCAACAAGATGGCCCTCCAGCCCCTGTGGCAGGTGCTCACTACCTCCCGTGGCAGCCCTATGAAAGGCATTCATCGCTGGAGAGTTCTTCCTAATGTTGCTCACCAAGCTCTGCCTCCCCAGAGTGTCCACCCACGGGTCTTAGTCCTCCCTTAGAAATGGTCCCCATGTTCACAGCAGCATTACTCACAATAGCCAAAAGGTGGAAGCAACCCAAGTGTCCATCGACATATAAATGGATAAACAAAATGTGGTTGAAAAAGTTTGTGGAAAAACAGAATTAAGAGAGAATTTCAAGAGGACACAAGAAGATGGAAAGATATCCCATGCTCTTGGATTGAAAGAATCAACATTGT